CTAAAACTATTGAAGATACAGGATTAGGCAAGGATTTTCTGAACAAAACCCAATTGCACAAGACATAATATCAATAATAAATGGGATCATATCAAAATAGAAAGCTTTTCCACAGTGAAGGAAACAACAGAGTTAACAGACACCTACAGAAGAGGAAATATTTTTTTGCCAGCTGTTCCTTCAAAGAATAATATCTACTATGTATAAAGAACTCAAATAATTAAGACTTCCCAAATTTAAAGATCCAGTAAAAAATAAAAAAAAAAAGATCCAGTAAATAGACACTTCTCAGAAGAAGTACAAATGGCTTATAAATACATAAAAAGTACTCAGAATCACTGGTCATTAGAGAAATGCAAATTAAAACAACATTGAGATTCCATTTCACTGTAGAAAGAATGGCTGTCTTCTAGAAATCAAATAGTAACAAGTGCTGGGGAGGCTGCAGGAGTGGGGCAACCCTTCTTTATTGTTGATAGAAGTGTATACTAGTACAAGTACTATGGAAATCAGTATGGAGATTCTTCAAAAAACTAAATTAGAAATTCCATTTGATACAGCTATTCCCTTTCTATGTATCTTTTCTAGAAAGTTAAAGACATTGTATTACAGTGATACATGCATTCTTATGTTTATAGCAGCACAATTTATAATATGTAAATCTTTTTTTTTTTTTTTTTGGTACCGGGATTTGAATTTATGACATTTCGCTTACCAGGCAAGCACCTGAGCTGCTGAGCTAAATCCTCAGTCCTATAATATCTAAATCTTGGAAGCAGCCTATATGTCAATCTACAGATGAATGGATAAAAAAGTGAGGTATTTACACTTAATGGAGTACTATTCTTCTTTAAAGAAGGATAAACTCAAATCATTTATAGGAAAATGGATGAACCTTGAGACCATAATCTTATGTGATATAAATCAGACACATCAGTTTAGGTATCACATGGTTTCTTATATTTTGGAGAAACCTAAAATATAAATAAAGTTCAAAATAAATGATTGAAAATAGGAAATAGCCAGATAAATCTTTAGCCTATGGAAAGGGAACCAAGAAATGGAGAGTGGGGGGAGGGAAGAGAGGGAAATGAGAGAAAATGGATGGGAATTGTGATGTGCTCTATACAGATACCACATCCATACAAGGAATGTGATCATTATATACAACAAACCTGTACAAAAAGAAATATAGAAGAGGAGTAAGAGATGGCGGGAGGATGAGGGAAGAGAGGAGGGGATAAAAAGATGTATCATGTACATATAACAACAATGAATGTAATCATTATGTACACCTCAAATGTGTACCAAATAATTTGTTAAGTAGTAAAGGAAGAAAGAATGGAATAAGAAAGCCAAGAGATATTTCAAAAATACATCAAACAATGGAAAAGTCAAGTGTAAATATAATCTGCTATGGTTTCTATCAAGATGTTCCCCTAAAACCTCATGCATTCATAAGTGTGGCTTTTAAGTGTGATTGAATCACGGGAATGTGCTACTAGATTATTTGCATGATGACTGAATTAGTTCACTAATTGGATTACTTCTGGTATGGATAAAATTAACAAAAGAAAGGAAAGGCTTTCACATTGAAAATTACAAAACATTGGTGAGAAAAATTAACAAAGATCTAAGGGCTGGAGATATAGCTCAGCAACAAAAGTGCCTGCCCGGCATGGTCCTGAGTTCAATGTCCAGCACCCAAAAAAACAAAAAACAAAAACCAAAAATAAAATTAACGAAGATCTCAATAAACAGAGAGGCATTTCAAATTCAGGATTGAAAATTTCAATATTTTAAAATGGCAGTTCTTCCATAATTGATATATGTGTTCAATACATTCTCAATCAAAATGAAAGCATGTTAACTTATAGAAATTGACAGATCAAAATTAATACTTATATGAAACTGTAAAGAACTCAGAACAGACAAAAAAGTTTAAAACTTCAAGGACTCACACTTTCAATTTAAATATTTACCACAAAGCTACAGCATTCAAGATAATATGGGGTTTGTCTTGGAATATAGACCAATGGAACACAAATGAAGTTGAGACACAAACCTTCAAGCAGTTTTCAAAGAAGGGCCCAAGGCAATTCAGTGGCAAAAGGATATTTTTTTTCAATGAATGGTGATGAGAAAATAAGATAATTATGTACAAGAAAAGATTAATTTACCTTACAATATACAAAAGTAACTAAAAATGTAACCAAAACACAAATGAGAGATGACAGTGTAAAACTTTTAGGAGAAAACCTTAATTGGGTTAAGAAAAAAGAAAAAATTTACAAATTGGACTTCATAAAGATTCAATATGTTTGCTTTTCGACATAGATGATTGAGAAAATGAAAATACATGCCATACACAGGAAGAAAATATTTTAAGCCATTTATCTAATAAAGGCCTTGCATTCAGAATACTTTATATAAGGAACACTTACATCTCAATAATCATGAATGAAATGTTTCAATTTAAAAAATATTCAGTAGATATTTTCACCAATAAACATACACAAATGTCTAGCAAGTATACAAATAGGTGTTCAACTAGCGATTAAGGAAATGCAAATCTAAACCATAATCACATGCTATTCACACTCACATGACTGGCTATATATTCTTTTTTTTATAAAAGGGGAAAATACTAGATGTTGATGAAGATGTGAAGTTTCTTTAAAAAACAGTTTGGGTAATGACTGAACCATAATAGAGTCATATAATAAGATTGAGTAATTCAATTCCTAGTTATCTATCAAAGAAAAATGAAAACATATATCCTCCCCAAAAAACTACGCAAACATTCATAGTGGTATTATAATCACAAAAAAGTGGAAACAATCCAAATATCTGTCAGCTGATGAGTATATTAGAAGATGTCTATCCATACACATGAGTATTAGTCATCCATGAAAATGAATTAAGTACCAATTCCAGCTACAACGGTGGACCTAAGAACTTAGACATGAAAGGCCACATATTGTATGATTCTATTTCTATGAAATGTCTAGAATAGGTAAATTCAATTAGACAAAAAGTAGATTAGGGGTTGAGGATAGACAGTAAACAGACAAGGAAGATGGCACTGAGATGATGGAAATGTCTAATAGGGATTGTAGTAATGGTTGCACCACTTGGCAAATTTACTAAAAATCCTTGTGGTGCACAATTAAAACAGGTCAATTTTATGATATGTAAATGTTATTTCGATGAATTATTTTAAACAAGCAAAGGTACAAAGAAAGAAACAAGAGAGAGAAATTTCATCCCCTTGACGATTTTTAGGGGTCATACAGAGCTCATCAGTCTGTTGTCTGATGTTTATGGCGGTGGTGATGATGAGGTCTGAGGGCCAGGCCATTATTTGGTATTTTAAAGTGAAAACTACAAATAAAACATTGCTGGCTTGAAATTTGGAGTTGTGAGGGTAAGAATTGGATGACATTTTAAAATATTCATGATGTGGAAGTGACAGGACTTTCCACTAATCAGATACAGACAGCGGCAGAGAGTGCAGATGTCTTCTACCTAGCATGCTTAAGGTTGAATACCTATTGTCCACCCAAATGTACTGTGTGCCACTGTGCTCTAAATTGCAACGAGAAGATCAGCATCTTGGTACAGCCGAGGCATTCACTGATTGTCTCTGGAGTGAACAAACAAAGTATGAGGAATAGAACAAAGATAGATGCATAGGTTATAAAACATGGTTAAACAAAGAAGCCACTGGGTCCTGCCAAAAAACTAGTCCTAAACTCACCCTGAGGATCTGTTCAACAGATGTCCAGCACAATTTCCCTCAGGCTACTTGAGCAATCATCAGGTCCCTCCCTCACCCAAAAGAACACCAAGGTTTATATCAGGTACTCCTTGCCTAGAACCTAGAGGTATGGCACAGGCTGTGTTTCCCCAAGTCTCTTATCCTGAAAATCTACACAGGACAATGGCAGGTTCATATACAGCCCATAAGAGCATGGGGGATATTTGGCATTATACAAAGAGGATGACAATATTGCCAACTGGTGAATCTATGTTCAGCTTGCCTCCAGGAAGGAAGAGATTCCTGTCACCCAAGAGGTTATTGGTCCTGTCCCCCACCCCACTTCATCTCTGGCAGGCAGAAAACAGCTGCCAGGAGCATCTTAGACCATCAGCGACCACTTTGGATATTTCACTACTGTTCTCTTGTTGATAAGCAGAGATGGCAAACTACTTGTGGTTCCTGATACGAAACAGCAAAACAAGGAAATATGCCCTGGCTCACACATCTGAGAAATAAAAAACTAAAAGGGGTTCACTAAAGAAACCTCAGACTCTACCACTGCAATGAACATTCCTTTTATAATATTGGTTATCAGACAAAGTAAAGCCTAAAGTATTGTGATAAAGCCACATTTACTTCTTATGGTTGTTGTAAAAGTATTTTGTATATCATATAGTTGTCATTATCACTTAGGAAGAATTGGAAGTTAGCAATACAGTGCTGATCTATATTGTTTAAATAATGTGTTTTTAGAGTTAACTAATGTAAAACCAACTGACATAATTTTTAGTACAGTGTTTTCTCATGGATCAATAACAAGCTAAGAAAAACTGTAAAAGACCACTGTAAGAGTGTGGATTACGGACTTGTGTCTAAATATGAGAGCTCAAGTTTTTCTTTCAGTAGTTATACAATCATTCAACTCTTTTATCATGAGACATTTATTCACTGTTTACTGTACTTTGTTCATTCAATGCAGAACATTTCTGCAGTCATTTAGTTAAAATCTTTAATTGTAGAGCATTCACAAGAACATTAGTTTCAGAGTTGACAATTAATGAATGAATGTCGTTTGTAATAATATTAAAAGGCTTTTTGGAGTTACTTTCTCAGTAGAGGTCTTTGGAGCCTAACTTCCCTCATTCACTATTCTTTCACTTCCTAGGCAGCTTTCCTCTGGAGGGACAAACAAAGGGTAAAATCTGGTCAGATAACATTAGTGGAGAACGAAAGAAATCAGTGCTGCAAAACTCTTGTAAAAAGACGATTTATCCTTTGATTTCACAGCTGAGCAAAGCGAGGCACAAAGAAGGTACCGAAGAGTTGAAATACAGACACCAATGAGTGACACATACAGGACTGGAAGGTCCTATAGCGTTTGAAACAATGTACACTGCGCGTCAGTCCCAAGGCTAGCTTGTTCCGGCTCTTCCTGAGTGCTAGGCCCATCTAGCCCCACTCTGATCTCTAGACGGATCCTGTCGTGCGAATGGCACAAACCATGACGACAGCCCTGCGACAAGGCAGGAATGTCTTCCTCCATCAGGGTTAAGGTGAGTACCACCGCTCTGGATCTGAGCAGACTGGGTAGGAGCAGCTGTCTCACTGCACCAGGCCCGAAAAACGATTGCCTCGGCAAACCCATTCACCTAGGACACCCTTTCCCCATCCATGAGCCGTAACCTACCTGTGCCGAGGTCGCGACTCACAACTCTGCCAGGAGGGAGGAAATATAAGCAAGGAAGGCCTTGATGTGTAGACTAGCGCGACCTTTGCTTTTTCACCGAAACTGTGGAGTTTGAGCTCCCCTCCCCCAGCCTGTTTGGGTTCTGCCGCTAGCCTGGAGGCCCCGCCCCGCTCCTTCCGGGCCTATGGAACGGGTGCCTTGCTTGCCTAATACCTATCCTGCTGGAGGCCTCTTAAGCGTTCGGACCCGTAAGGATTGGATCTGTGAGCTGGTCTACTGAGTAGCCCTCCTTGAACAGATTGTAAGCACAGGCCCAGGGAGGAGAAAAGATAAGCCCATAATGCTGTATACACTGCATGTAAAAACCTCAGAAGCCTGTGTGCCACATCAGAGCACTTCTGAAGTATCCACATTACGTTCTATGTATGGCGGCTTATTGAGGTTTGCTAGAACTAAAATTGCTTCAAGACCCGCCACTTTCTAGAAGTTAATAACATCACATACCACTAGCTACTGGGTTCTCATTAAGTTGAGCACCTTGAATTTAAGATACAGGTACAGTGCTAATATTAGAAGGAAATAAAACATTAAAAATTAGCACTTATGCATGTAAAATGTACTGAAATAGAATGTGCTGTGGAAATTCAAGGCAAAAGAAAAACACTGAGAACAAAAATAAAGAAGAAAATATATAGCTATCGAAAGTAGGAAATTGTACAGTATTGTAGCTATTAGAGATAAAAAATATTACTCTAATGTCAAAAAGGTAATATAGGAAATGGTTTGTAAAAATCATAATAGAAGAAAAAATCCTCCACTCTGAAGAGCTTTTATTACTTCTTTCACATGTTTAACATGGAATTCTGCTGAAGATAGGCTACCCATACTTTTTTATCTAAAAAAATCACTGTTCGTCATTTTTACTCAATTTTCATGTGTTACCCTCCTCTGTGGTTCCTTTACTGTCATTCCCCGATAAATTTGTGTTCTCATTATCTGTGGTCTGATATACTAAATGGATCCAGTACGTGCCTCGAGTATATCACTTATTCTGGATTATAATTTCACTTTAACATGTTTCTACCCTCCAATGAACATATACCTTCTTGAGAAAAGAAAACCTCTATTTTGCATGTTTATTTTCCAACTATAGGGTATACGGTGTGCAGATATTTAGGGAGTATTTTTAAGAATTGCCTAGAACCAGTAAGTAGACAAAAGTTTATAGCCAAAATGTAAGTTGGTGTTAAGATGAATAACTGAATACTGTGAACCTAGATTTAATCTGGAAGGTAAGTATTCATTTATGCAATAAACATTAATGGATGCCTACTGTATGTCAGATTTTATAAATAAGTTCTCAATAAAAATGATAGACAAAACCCAGAAATACTCGTGCCCTTATAACCTTACATTTAAATAACAAATAGGATTGGGGCAGGTAAATGAGAAAAGGAAGAACATTCCAGACAGATAGAACGGCATGATCCAACATCCAGTAATAGAAAGGAGCTTGACGGTATCAATTAGAGTAAATGACATCAGTAAAGGTGAGGGTCCATAGACAAATACAGAATACTCAGAAAGAAGAGATTGATAAAGCATGTTTGTTGTCAGAAAATTAAGTCACTTGGCTTACTAAGAGTAACTAATAGTTGATTAAACTTGTATTATATGCCAAACACTGGACTAAATATTTTATAATAAATATTTAAGGAGGATAATATTATTATCCTTACTTTAAAGATAAGTCAACTAAGGTACAGATAGGTTAAGTAATTTTATCAGGATTGCACAGTGGTTAAATTTCAGACTTGAGATTCAAATTTACGTAATCCAGCTGTAGACCCTAATGCAGGAGCTGTAATACAAGCACAAGTGAAAAGTATAATAAATAGTGCTTTGAACTAAGAAGCAATATGTTGGATTCTAACACTGGTGCTCTAGACATAAGACTTTGGCCTAGACATTGCTTAATATTAATTAGGTAGTAGTGCCTTTGATGGGTGATACTATTCAGTAAGAATGATTTCAAAATAAGGCATCAGCAGTAAGGCAGAGCACAGGAGTCAAAAAAAGTAGTTACCTTGAGTGATACTTTTGTGAAGCACACACAAAACTGGCAAAGGACCTCATTTTTTTTTAAAATTTTATTTAAAGAAAACAAAACAAAACTAAAAAGTAAAAGGGTACAAGTAATACATAATTTCAAAAAAAATAAACAGAATTCACTAGTTAATAGATTACATATTGTCATCTTAGAAATAGTTGTTCAAGTTACAAAATTAAGCATACAAAGTGGGCATTCAAACAGTGAGACTGCAAACAGTTGTGTTCAATGATCCAACAAAAACTTAGTAATATGGTCATCCATCTTACACACCTAAACACACTTGCAGTTGTGTCATTTAGAGCACTTTCTTTCCTCTCTTTTTTACAATAACATTTACACATTTTGGGTTTTATTACTCTCACAGTTCTTATTTCTTTGACCCTAAATTTCTTTTCTTTTTTTTTTTCGGTGCTGGGGATCGAACTCATGACCTTGCGCTTGCCAGGCAGGCACTTGTGCCACTGAGCTAAATCCCTGGCTCCTGACTCTAAATTTCTTATTTCACAATTTGGGAAAATAATGCTATCTATCTTGGAGGACTGTGAAAATTAAATGAGATGCTGTGTGTAAAACATTTGGTCATGCCTGGCACACTGTCAATGAATATTAGCTGTTATGATGTTATTACATTTTAATAACCAAAGTAGAGAAGGTATGAACAATTACAATTTGAGGAAAGTGACATGAAATGTCAAATACTGAATGGGCAGTGGGACAAATTTTTTTTATCTTCTTTGAATCAATTATCCTCTTTCAAGCCTCAATTTTATTTAGCACTTATTGTTAATAACTGTTGTAATTGTTTACTTGTTGGTTTCCTCTGCATGTGTGTTTATAGCAGCTCATATATTGTCTTGAATGGAATAGAGTTTAAAAAATATCTGTGAAATGAATTAATTAAAGAATAAAAATCCAGGTACAAATGTGCTAGAAAATAAAATAGAAGCAGTATTATCTGGGTCCTTTTGTGTTCCAGCCACTCTAGTGTTCTGTTTCACAAACACACCAAGTTTTGTCCTGTTCTGCTTGCAAAATATAACCTGTTTACCTATTTGTCCCTACCTGCACCATTAACAATCCAACCAGGGGTTGACAATTTTTTTTTCTGTTGGGGTCAGATAGAAAATATTCTAAGCTTTATGAAACAGATATAGTCTTTATAGCCACTCAGTTCTACCTTTATAGAGCAAAAACAACCATAGACCACAAACAATACATAAATTATTGTGTGGAGGTGTTTCAGTAAAAGTTTATTTACAAAAACAAATGGCAGGATTTTGCTTGTGGGCTACAATTTAATAACTCTCACTCTAGGCCAGATTACCATGATCTCTTATTTAATGATATGTAGACATTATCATCTTTGGTTAAAACCTGGTTTTTATCAACATTTTATTGAAGCTTTAATGCTTTCAAATTTTACTTATATGTTATTAAAATGGTTAAAACTATTAAAATTATTTTTGAATTTTTATGCATAAAAATAGTTCTTAAAAGCTTAAAAATTTTAGGTAACTTAAACTTAGGACTAAGTTAAACTCTTTATTTAAGCAAAGAGTAATTCATGAATCAGGCAGCCCTCAGAAACAGAAGAGGTTCAGAAAGTTTCATGTAGCAACGTGAGCAGAAAGTATTTTGTAGACAGAACATGTAAGTAATGTACAAAAATTACCTTATTGGTTACAGCTTGCTCTATGTGTTATATGGACATGTCTTTAGTTTTCAGCCTGGAGTTTGGCTGAGGCTTAGCTGATATTACTGGTCAAGACTTGGTTACTTGTTACAAGAATATAGTAACTACAATAATATTCTCCTTGTCTACGGGGATGCGTTCCAAAATCTCTAGCGTATGTTTGAAACCACAGGTAGCGCCAAACTCTATATTGCTATGTTTTTTCCTCTATATAGCTATGTATGGTAAAGTTTAATTTATAAATTAGGCACAGTAGGAGATTTACAATAATAATTAATAATAAAACAGTTATGACAATATACCATAATAAAAGTTATTTAAAATTATGAGATTTTTATTCCTGGAACTTTCCATTCAATATTTTCAGACCATAGAAAGCAGTTGATTGCAGTTAACTGAAACTGTGGAAGGGAAAACTATTGGTACAGGAGAACTACTGCATTCTCAAGTTAGGTGTCATTTTGTTTACAAATTAAAGTGAGATTGTACTCTATTACAGACAGAAATGGCTTTAGATGAAATTTAATTTAGCACTTTCTCCCTTTTGTCAGTCTCTCAATTTCAAGACCTTCTGTAATGACACCACTTTCTATCACTATCATAATGGGATTTATTTGGTCTTCATATGGAATTTACAATTCACAATGTAAAACTAGCTGAATTATTCTTTATGTTTTCTTCATGTTTTTGATATTCCAACTGCAATGAGACCATCTAATGTGCAAAGGATGACAATATATGAGCAAGTAGGCATCCTTGAGAAGATGCTATATATAAGGGAGATTATTATAATGGATACCCATAGGATAATGCTAAGAAACTAAAAAATACTACTCAACAGAAGTTGCCATGAAGCAAACTAATAAAAATCAAATAATTCAAAGTTCAGGTAATAAAGATAGCTCAACAGTATTAAAGCCCAATTGGCTGTAGTCTTTCTTCAGGGCATGATGACAAATGAGGATCATAGTTCAGTGTGAAGTGGCCTGATTTAAGGAAGGAACCATTTTTATGGTTAATATTCCTGGTAGTACAATTCATAGTAAGAAAACGGTGGCAT